GAAAAACAGGTAACAAGAGAGGCAAGAAATGAGGCACTTAACTGACTGTCAAGTGAGAACATAAGAGCTTTAATTAATGGTTACTCAAAAAATCTCCCAGTGTATCTTCATGACTAGGACTTAACTGGCGAGGTGGTACGAGTGAGCATTGCTCCAGGTCCAACTCATCCAATTATTTCCTCTTCCTAATATATCAGGAAGGGTGATATCGAACTTCCTGTAAGACTTAGATTATCCATTCCACACTCCATGCCATTCCTTTCATCTCTTGCCAAGGAAGGCACTCTGCCCCTCACCCCACCATGTGTTCCCCACTGCTCTTGTGCTGAATTCTTACTGCTCAAACTCCTCATTAATCATTTCTCCAAAAATCCAATCAGAATTGGCAATTACTTTTTTTAAAAGGGTCAATGAACCATGGTGCTTTCGGTAACTGTGAGTTTTAGTTACAAATATTGTTGCCCATTTGTTAAACAGGCAGGTGCTGAGATCAGAAAGTGACCTGCAAGGGTGTGATTTGAAAAGCAGCCAGCATGGAAGAACCAGAGTTGTTCTTCCAATCCCTGATTTCCTGTCTCCTGTTTTGGTCATCACCCTTCCAACTGAAAGTTCTGCATGGAGAGGAGCAGTAAAAATAGCAGAGAGGGAGCCTGTGATTGGAGGAGCTGGAACAGCAGGTGTGAGTCAGGCAGAAACTGGGATTGGAAGAGCACTCACTGCTTCACCTATCACAACGCTGGCTGATCCCTGGAGACTTGCAGCTTCCCTCTCCTCTTGCCAGGCTATTCATGCCAAGGATTGCTGCACCATCCCTTTGTCCACCTATTCTAGATTACCCAATTGGCAGCAGTCCTTCAGTCAATGGCCACTAAGTGTACTTTTTCCCGATTAAATGTGCCTCCAGGTATTTGTCCTTGGAGTGTGCTGTCTTCTTAATGTTGAAGCATCTCTCTAAATGTCAAAAACCCTTTGGAGAGTCTGAATTGTAACTTATTTTGAACAATCAGTTACAGAATAAGTTATCAGTAACTGTTGTCACTACTCTCATTAATATTTAGTTTTCTGCTTCTCTGTTCTTTTGATATTGTTGGGATATTGGTTTATGAGTGAAATCAAGGTAACGTTCAAGTATTATACACATAATATGTTTTATACTTGGCTAAAACCGTCGGCCAAGAGGATTTGCACATTGGGAGTTGGTAGCACTTGCAAAATATAAAAGTGGTTTCAAAATCTGAATCTACAATAAGCTATACTCAGTTTCAAATGAATCTTAGTAACTTTGTTAATCAATATTTCCTGTGCCATGTTCAATTCATTTCTGATCAAAGACACCCTGTACTGTGTTGATTTGCTTCATAGAATTATAATGGAGAATAGTGCAGTGAATGCAGAATGATCTGACCTTTCATTAGCAATTGTTATGGGTCTGCCTCCAACAGGGTATATTACCCGATGTGCAGAGATAACCTGTTGACCCATGTAACATAAGAAACTGAGCCCAGATATCATGGCATTGAAAAATCTAACAGACATTCATTACAGTGAACAATTATATACAGGCATTACATTCCTCAGGTACCTCAGCATCTGGGGGCTAGTATTAAGTTATTACATTGCATGGAACAGAATGCTTTGCATAGTATGTCATGTTTCAAGTGATCCCAGATACGATAGAATCTGACATTTTTATATACTCAAACCTCATGCCATCCTCCATGATATCATGAGCATATCTCTTAAAGGTATTCTGAAACATCGACCATGAGTCATAACACATAATGCCATCACCGAATTCTCCGTTTTCCACAAACTGGAAGTTACCACTGACCAGAAACTGAAGTAGATGATCCATATAAAGACTGTGGCTACAACCACTGATCAGAATCTATGAATCCTGTAGCAAGTAACTTCCTGTGTCCCCAGTGCTTGTTTATATTTACGAGGTATAAGTCAACAGTGTGATGGAATACTGTTCACCTACCTGGATGTCCAGGGCAAAGTAGCTTGCTTATAATTGGCACCACAGTTATCAAATGGAACATCCTCTCCCTACACCACCAACACTCAGTTGCAGTAGTGTGTATCATCTACAAAATGCATTACAGAAATTCACTAAGCCTCTTTTGTAAGCACCTTCCAAACCTGTGACTTCTACCACAAAAAAGGATAAGGAAGCAGATACATAGAAACACCACTAGCTGCAGTTTCCCTCCAAGACACTCACTAACCTGACTTGAAAGACATAGCCGTTCCTTCAGTGTTGCTGGAACTGCCTCACTAATACCATTAAGGGTCTACCTACAGCACGTGCGCTGTAGCAGTTGAAGAAGACAGCTCACCACCACCTTCTCAAGGGCAATAGGGACAAGGAACAAATGCTGGCCCAGTCAGTGATGCTAATATCCCATGAATTAATAAAACCAAAAGCAAGTTGTTGTTATCAGGACAAGTGCTAATTTATTTTTCTTTAACAAATCCTGTTGAAGCTGCATTTTCTATTTTTGTTACATTATGACATAGTGAAGAGCAATTGTCAGTGTTAGTGAAAATTCTCAAAAATGAAAGATTGCTTTCTTTTACAAATGTGTTTATTTTAATTGCAGGAGTTCCAAGCACAGCCATAGTTTCAATTTATATCCTATCCAACCCTACTGGGAATCATAATTCACATAAATGATGTTGGTTCCCAAAGCCCACACAGAGCTGCACCACACACACACACAAAAAGCTCTCTAGTTTATGTCCCATTTTGGATATTTGATCACATGTGGAAATGCATTTGTTGTTTTAAATGTCAAATGTAATTAGGTGGAGGCAAATAAAGACTGGCCTTAAAGCAGCAGCAGTTGGACAATGGAGTAAAGCTAATTTATAGTCACAATTCAAAAGCCACATTTTAGCAACCCAAGAGTTTTATAATTACTCTAGATATACATCTATCAGTAAAGAAATGAAGAGTTACGGCGATAAGACAGGAAAATTTAGTTGAGGATTATCAGACCATCCTTGACCTCATTGAAGAACAGAGTGCACTAGACGGACTGAATGGCCAACTTCCGCTCCTCCGTCTTATGATCCTAAGTAGCAATTTCTTTTGGCTGATGATGACCACATTTTCATCAAATGCCCGATTCCCCTCTTTTCCTAGGAAACTTGATGTGAATTTGTGCGTTGCCAGACATTGATCAGTTGGTAGCACTATTGTCTCTGAATTACAGGCTTACAGGTTTGCATCCCACTCCAAGGCTTGAGGTTGAAAGTCGATGCTGACTCTCCAGCACCCTGCTGTACAACAGACACATTGCCTTCTGGATGAGACCTGAAACCAAGGTCTTGCCTGCCTCCTTCAGTGGATCTTTTGAAGTATTTTGAGGAATACTTCCTGGTCTATTGGCCAAAATAATCCCACAATCAAAATCACACAAAACAGATTACTTTGTCACTGTTAAATTGCTGTGTTCTTTTAAAACTTTGCTGTGTGCAAATGCCTGTAATGTTTGCTGCATGACAATATTGACAACTGCTTAAAAACCTTTCCATTGGTTGTCAAGGACTTTGAGATAACTGGACATCATGAGAAGTGCTATGCAAATGCTGGTCTTTTCTATTAAATCTGTTTAGGTTGCCACCTTAATTATGTTTTTATTCCTGGATGAATGCAGATCCAACATTATCCAGAAACAGCCCATTTGCTTAGCACCAGGCCACCTTAAACACTCACTCCCTCCATTGTGCTGGACAGTGGCAGCAGCGTGTGTCATCAAAAGTGCATAGTGCATCACCTTACCATGACTTGTTCAACAACACCTTCTAAACTTACAGCCTCTGCCACCTAAAAGGACAAGAGCAACAGATGCAATGGAAACACCAGTAGCTGCAAATTTCCCTTCAACCCATTCACTATCCTGACTTGGAACTCTTTCATAATTCTTTCAATGTCAATGGATCAAGGTCCTGGAACTCCCTCCCTACTAGCATTGTGGATCTGCCTGCAGTACATGGACTGCAATGGCTTGAGGAGGCAGCTCACCACCATCTTCTCAAAGGCAACTATAGTAGGCAATAAATGATGACCCAGCTAGTGAAATCCACATCCTGTGAAAAAAGTTTAGAATGGTTTCACTTTAAATGTTTCAACAGGGCGAGGTTGTTCTAATCAATGTGCTTGCACAAATGACCAACCAGCATACATAATTGCTCTTTACTCCGAAGGAATTTCTGGGTCACATGGTAATATTATTTCACTGATTGAAAATAAAGCAGAAAATGGGTCTGTTACATTAATCCTGGTCCATATTGCTGAAAAAAAAAATCACCTTTTGGTTTTCTGCTATTTCAACTTGGAGCATTCTGTGCTATTAATCCTTTTAACAGCCTAAGTCTGAGTTATGGTGTAAAATGTCCAATGAGACACCATTGAGAAAAATATTAGCAGGTGCAGGGTAAGCTCATTCTCCTAGGCAAGATGCAAAATTTATTGCCCTCTGAATTTGAGGGTTTCAAGAGCATGTTCAATTATAGGTTGAAGGTAAGGAATGCAGTGCATGTGGAAATGCATTTGTTGTTTTAAATGTCAAGGCATGTTTTCATTTTCTCTTTCAGTTCAGCACTAAATGACTTAAAACAAAAAATGATCTCTATGAAAAACAACGGAACGGGCACATGCTGTCAGCAGAGGTGTTATCACCAAAACTGAATGTCAGTTCATTATCACATTGTTATTTATGGGAGCTTATTAAATCTATATTGCATGCTAGGTTACAATGTGACCATGCTTGAAAATGACTTAATTGGCTCGAATATGCTTTGGGCCCTCCTAGGGTTGAGCGGGCTGCTAGAATTTGAATTAGGTTTATTGTTACATGTACTCCAGTCCAGAAGCACAGGAGTACAGTGAAAAGTTTACCATGTCACTCTGTGAGATGCTATCATTGGTACAAAATACCTAGGTACAAATCTTAGATACAAAAGAGAGAAATTACAAAAAGTCACATTACCTATGTAAATACCATTTCTGTTCTGAAATAATGCTCATTAAACTCTTCCAGTAGGGCTGACAAAGTTTCTGGGCTATTAATGTGCCTTTGAAGAATTGACCCCCTTGCTGTATTCTTGAACTGAGATCACCTTTTCTGCTTAAGTTGAAGCTGATTTCCCAGCTTCAGAGGCTGATGAAAATAGGCCAGAGAATTGCTTTGTCAGAGTTCTCTAGTCCACTGCCACTTCACAGGATGTTCCAGCCAGAAATGAGCTCCCAGTGACACTTCCAATGGCACTCCCAATTGGATGATATCATTTGACTCATTTTGTCTGAGGCCTGAGCAACATGGGATGCCAAGAATACCTGGCATGGAGCATTGGACTAAAGTGGATTAACATCTGACTCCTTTCTTGTTTAAAACATTTGCAGAGATGTTACTTTTTCGATCTTCATAACACATTGTACTCAGAGAGCTTTAAATGTCTTCTCCATACGTCCATCTCTTTCTAGAGATTTGTTTATCTTTCCTGTAACTCAAACCAATCTTTTGTGACTGAGAAGCAGTTGTGTACAGGGTCACATAATCAAACAGAATAATTGAATAGCATAGGGCTCAAGTAGGTAGACTTCAATGACTTCAAGCTGTGTGGAGCTGCATTGTCCTGTTTTGATAAAAATACAGAGAATCATAGATAATAGGAAGAATAAACCATTCAGCCCATCAAGCCTGCCTCACCATTCAACTTGATTATGGCTGATCCACCAGCTAAATGCCGTAATCCTGCTATATCCTCATACCACTTGACTCATAGAAATCTATCCATATTATTGTTAAATATGTTGTGTGACTTGGCCTCCACAGCCTTCTGTGTAGCCAATTTCACAGGTTTACCGCTCCTAAATGAGAAAAGCTCTCTTCATCTCAGTCCAAAATGATTTACCCTGTATGCTCAGAATTTGACCCTTCATTCCAAAGTCCCCAGGCTGGGAAACAACATACCTGCATCCAGAATCTCCAGCTGTATCAGAATGTATACATTTTAATGTGATTTTCCTCTCATTTTTCTAAACTCTATTGACACAGACCTATTCGATCTTCCATTCTTATTTGTCCAGTTGATTTGATTTGAGTTGATTTTATCAATTATTGTCACATATACCTAAGTACAGTGAAAAATTTGTTTTTTGTGCAATACATGCAGATCATACCATGCAAAGTGTATCAGGGCAATAGAACAGGGCAAAGAATGCAATGTTACGGCTGCAGAGAAGGTGCACAAAGGGCAAGATCAACATTAAATTTAAAATTTGAGAAGTCCATTCAGAAGTCTAATAACAGCGAGGAAGAAATTGCTCTTGAATCTGTTGGTATAGGAGTTTAAGCTTTTGTATCTTCTGCCCAACAGAAGATGTTGGAAGAGATTATAACTGGGGTGAGAGGGGTTTTTAATAAGTTGGCTGTCTTCCTGAAACAGTGAAAAGTATAGATGGAGTCAATGGATGGAAGGATGGCTTGCTTGATGGACTGGGCTGTGTTCACAACTCTGTGTAGTTCCTTTTAATCCTGGGCAGAGCTATGAGGCATTCGGATAGAATGCTATCTATGAAAATTGGTAAGAGTCTTATGAGCAAATTATTGCAGATGTTGGAATCTGTATTGAAATCAAAAAATGCTGGAAATCACAACAGGTCAGACAACATCCATGGACAGAGAGCAAGCTAAAGTTTCATGTCCAGATGACTCTCCTTCAGCACAGATGCTCTGATGACGAGTTATCTAGACTCGAAACATTAGCTTTCTCTCTCTCCACAGATGCTGCCTAACACACCATGATTTCTAGCATTTTTGTTTTGTGTTCTTGGTAAGAACCTTTATGGACATGCCAAATTTCTTTAGGCTCCTGAGGAGGTAAAGGCATTATTGTGCTCGCTTGACTGTAACATCAGTGTGGGTAGACCAGGATAGGTGGTTAGTCATCATCACTCCTTGGAACTTGATGTTGTCGAACATCTCCAGTTCAGCATCATTGATGTAGATAGAGGCTAAAGTCAAGAAATAACTCTTTCATTTAGCTGATGTTGAGGGAGAGATTGATATCTTTGCATCATACCACCAAGCACTCTATCTCTTTCCTGTATTCTATGTCATCATTGTTTGAGTTGGGGTCAAAGCATAACCTGCAATGGCTTCTGGCATGTTTTCGTCCTTCATCTCATGTCCTCCAGGCATCTGTTCCTGGTCTCTTCCTGTATCAGACCTGCATGCTGTGCTCTGCATTTGAAAACTTAGCATTGGATGGCACATGTATGTTGTTGACACCAAATTCCATCTCATCACCATCTCTCTGGACCACTTCACTGTCTCTAACTCGTCTGCTTCAATCTTGTAATGGTTGAGCAGAAATTTTCCCGAATTAAATATTGGGAAGATCAAATCCACTGTCTTCAGTCCCTGCCATAAACTCATTTCTCTGGGTCATTGACTCCATATCTTTGAATGACAATTATCTGAGGTTGAAGCCAACTGCTGACAATTTTTGCGTGCTATTTGACCTGAAGTAAGTTTAGAACCACATTTGCAGGCCATCACTGAGATGTTCTATTTCTACCTATTGAAAAATCATGTCTTTCAGCTGATCTGCCACCAAAACTATTGTTCATGTCTTTGTTATGACCAGCCTTTTCTATTCTAGCACACTGCCAGATGTTCATTCTGTGTAAATTTAAGATCATCCAAAACATTTCCTAAAGTGCACTCGGTCCCATTTGCCCATCACTCCCTACCTTGCTGACCTACTTTGGTCTCTGGCTGGGCAACATTATAACATTTTTCAAGTTCTTGATTGAGTTTCCAAATTTCTTTCATGACTTTGTTCTCCCTGTTTGTATCAGCTCCACCATCCCTTCAATCCACCAAGATCTCTTTGATCTCCAGGTCAGCTCCAGGTGTTTTATTATTCCTTTACTGTGGTAAAAATTGCTCTTCAATGTGGATTCTAATCTGCAACATTCCGTTTCTAAATCTTCCCACTTCTCTTTTACTCCTTTGTGACATTAAGTCAACTGACTGCTTTGACTGAGCTTCAGTTCATGTGCCTTCATCTTTCATTGCATGGCACAGTGTCAAATCTTGTTTGATAATGCTTCTGTGAAGTGCCATGGGACACTAAAAGCACTATATAAATGAAAGTTGTTATTGCTTTTGAAATTTCCTGCAGTTACTATTTTTCGCTATTGAACATGTCACTCCTGAGAGCTGCATTATTGCAAATAGAAATTTATTTGTTAAAATTTTGCAGCATTCTCTGATAGAAACCAGTAAGACACTTCTGTTAAGGTAGCAAACATTGGACAGATGATAACCTGAGACCCCACCTCATTTCAGCACTTTCAAAAATAAGTTACTTTTCTTCTTTAAAAAAAACTCTCATAAGATACCCTAGATATACAGTTTCCATTTAACCCTATGCCCCCTGTACTTTTGAAGGTCATCAGAAACTAAATATACTCTCAGATGACTGACAGTATATCAACAATGATGAAGAAACACTCAATTTCCAACGATCAAGATTAGTCCACAGAGAAGTGCAGAAGACAGAGGAGACACTTCCTACAGATTTGGTAGCAATGTGTCAGTGCTTTTTAATTATTATGGCAAGCTGATGTGTTCATTTGGGACATGAGTGCCTCAGAAGCATTTTTTCTCCAAGTCAGAAAAAGAGGAGAATGGGCCAGATTTAATCAATTTTTGGAGGGAGGAGCCAGTTTAAGAACAGCTCCTAGATTTGGGTGTCATAGAATCAGGATTTTGAACACCCTGAACATAAAGAGAAGTGGAAAAAAATTCCATGATTGCAACAGCCTTTCATGCTGAAAGTGATATTTGCAGCCAATAAAGCAGTTTTTAGCATAGACGTTGTTGTAATGTTAAAAACACTAGCTTATATTTACACAATAATCTACTTAAATCATGTTTGTTTTAATTTGTACATGGGATTGGGGGATTGCTAATTGGATCAATGTTTATTTTTCATTCCTAATTGCCCTTGAACTGAATGGCTTCCTGAGCCATTTCTGAAGAAGGGTCACTGAACTTGAAATGTTAACTCTGCTTTCCCTCCACAGATGGTGCCAGACCTGCTCAGCTTCTCTAGAGATATTAATCTGAGATTCTGAATTACAAATGCAAAACATTGCCATTATGTGATCACCTTCTTAAATGTTAATAATCAGCCTTTTCTAAGTGATATTGCTTCAAGGGAAAATACTGGCCAGAAGACCTCCTCTTTGAACAAATACCCTGGCATCTTTCATGTCGAACCAAGAGCACTTAAGAGGTAGTAGGAACTGCAGATGCTGGAGAATCTGAGATAACAAGGTGTAGATCTGGATGAACACAGCAGGCCAAGCAGCATCAGAGGAGCAGGAAGGCTGACGTTTCGGGCCTAGACCCTTGGTATCTTAGCACTTAAGAGGTGTCAGTTTAACATCTCATCTGAAACACTGTGAAATGGCAAATCCTCCCACTCCATACAAAACACAGACATGTTAGGTGCAGCACAAGAGGCCATTGAACCTCTTCATGTCTGCTCCATCACTCGATAAGATCATTCCCACTCACCCTGGCAAACTTTGACTGTCTAATTGGTTAAGAATCTACCTTTAAAATATGCAATCACTCCGCTTCCGACAGTCTCTGGGAAAGATTGATGATCCTCTGAAAAATCAAATTTTCTCATGCCCTTTTTTTCCCTTATGGAAGGGGTCAGGTCCTGAGTCCAGGTAGGTGGGGCTAGAGTCCAGAACGGGGCGGGAAGATAGCAGGTCAAGGGGGTTTCAGGTAAAGTTTGGAGGAAATGCAATTGGTGCGTGTGTGTGGGATGAGTTGAATAGTTACTCAGGAGTTAGACTATGTATCTCACAGTTTAACTTTTCCTGAGGAACTACTTATTTAATTTCATCAAAACTGTCTGAATTCTCTGACTTAATTGGAGAATTTCCAGGTGTCCCAGGCATTGAAAAATTGCTCTGCGGTAAATTTAATTTCATGGATAATTCCTTCAGAGTCTGCAATGATGGGTATTCCTCAGAATCCCGAAGTGCAGCTCCCATTTACACTGGAATAATGACTGTCTAGCCAGTGGAAAATCCAGACCTGTATTTTAAGTGGTGACAGTAGTTCTTGTCTCCATAACAAGTGGAAACATTTTTTTCAGTACTCATCCCATCAAACCTTTTTTTTAAAGT